CCTCTTCCCACCACCCTCAAGCCCACCGCCTCCCCATACCCCAGGCAAAGCTGCTAACTCTTACCCACCACCCACGCTGCCTTCCCAGCACAAAGCACAAACAGGAACTCATTATCTTCCATCTCGAACCCCTCCCCTCCCATGCTCTTTATCATGGTTAAAAATACCACCCTCCCCCTCACAGGTGAGCACCATTGGCCCCCTCCTGTGTTCTCACCACCGCCCCCCACTCTCCTTCCAACCTTCAGTCATCAAGCTGTGCCTGTTCTGGCTCCCCAAATCTTCCCTGCTCATCCTCCCCTTTGCCACTCGGCTTACCTACTTTGGGCCAAAACAGCCTCCCGTGCCATTTCTTTTCCAGTTATGGGGCTGAAGTCACTTTGTATTCATCCACATTGGAATGGATTATTCTCACCCAGTGCATGAATGTCAGGAGGAATTAAACGAGGGGGCCTTAAGAGCCCACCTAACCCCTGGTTGAGGAATCCGAGGTCAGCTCACTGTGGGACTGGGTCCGTCCTTAGCCCCTGACCATCTGCTCCAGTGGACGAGGTGGTCCAGGCCCTGTCCCACTCACCTCCCCCTCCCGCCCCTCCTCATCCTCAGCGCCTGTTCCACCAGTGCGCCCTCTCCCACTCTCCTGGGACCTTCCCATCAACCACAGATGCTCACTCGCCCACCCGTCTTTACAGAATCCTCCACCCTCACCTCCCACTAGCTATAGACAGCCTTGTTTCTGAAAAGAGTTGTCTACACTTGCTATCTCCCACTCGCTCCTCAACCCACTGCAATCTGGCTTCCAATCCCTGTACTCCATTGAAACAGCTCTGGTAAAAGTTATCAGCCTTCTAATTATCCAATAAAATGCATACCTGCTTTCCAATCCTTAAATGACTCAACTTTCTGAGGCATCTGCGTGTTGGCCATTTCTTACCTTTGACGAAATTTCTTCCCTTATCCTTGGCTTTCCTTCCACTTCCCTTCTAGGCCCCTCCATCTCAGCCTCCCTTGGAAGCACCTCTTCCTCCGTCTACGGTGCCCCTCAGAGGTCAAGCCTGATCCCACTATCTTCTTGGTCCACACATTCCACTTGAGCGAATTCACCCACAGCTCGCACCCATAGCTTTAACCATCAGGAGACGCAGTATAGGGTGGTGGTTAAAAGCCTGAACTCCAAAGCTCCTCTGTGCACGTTTAGCCTTGGGCCAGTTACCGAACACTACTGTGCCTCAGTTTCCTCAACTGTAAAATGGTGCAAAGCTTTTCAGTCTCATTGCTTTCTGTGTCTGAACATGCACTTTTGCTCAGATCATGCTGAACCTCATACAACCATATTATGTGCCCATACTTGTGCTCCATTTTTGCTCAGGCATATAGGGGGTGCCTGGGGAACAAATCTGTGAATAAACGAAGGAATGTTGCCCTGGATTGGGCTCCCCCAGAAATAAACTCTGAGATAAGGAATTGGGTGCAGCTACTTTATTTGGGAGGTGATTGGTCCCAGGGAGAATGAATGAGCGAGAAAGAGAGGAAAGAGACAAAAGGCATAAAGAGTGGATTAATGGGCAGCCCGGATGGCTCAGCAGTTTAGCGCTGCCTTAAGCCCAAGGCCTGATCCTGGAGACCCGGGATGGAGTTCCACGTCGGGCTCCTTGCATGGAACCTGCTTCTCGCTCTGCCTGTGTCTCTGCCCCTTTCTCTCTCTGTGTCTCTCATGAATAAATACAATCTTAAAAAAAAAAAGTGAATTATTAACCGGTGGATTACTATTAGGGGGCAAGTGGACCCAATTCCATTGGAGATCCCTGAGGAAATGTGCCAAAAGCACTTTAGCACCATCTATGAACTAGGAAATGGGTTCTCACCAGACACCGAATCTGTTCAGACCTATCTTGGACTTCCCAGCCTTCAAAACTGTGAGATATGAGTTTGTGTATGTGTGTGTATAAAGATTTTATTTGTTTGTTTGTTTATGAGACACAGAGATAGTGCGAGAGAGCACGAGCAGGGAGGAGGAGAAGGAGAAGCAGGCTCCCCACTGAGCAGGGAGCCTGATGCAGGACTCTATCCCAGGACCCTGGGATCATGACCTGAGCCAAAGGAAGGCAGATGCTTCACCGACTGAGCCACCCGGGTGTCCCTCTGTGTTGTTCATAAGTCACCTTGTCTGTGGTATTGTTACAGCAGCCCAAGCTGCTAAGATACACCCCCGCCCCCCATGCTGACTTAGGAACCCTTCCCATGCTCTCTATAGCCCCCGGGGTCCCTTGGGCATACCTCTAGGAGAGGAATCCTCTCCCTGCTTCCCAAATAGAACCTCCTGGTCTATCTTCCTTGGAGAGCAAGAATAGCTCATCTCTGCAGATCTAGTGCCCAGAAGTTTTTCGAGCACATTACAGGCATTTAAGGAATGCCTTTTAATGAATTCAAGTTCATCTTGCTCAGGGCCCCACGCAGAGTATGCGGTCAATAAATACAGACTCCTTTCCTCTCCCTCCAAGTCAAAGAGTTTGCCATGGGATTTTTTTTTTTTTAATAATAAATTTAGGGATCCCTGGGTGGCGCAGTGGTTTGGCGCCTGCCTTTGGCCCAGGGCGCGATCCTGGAGACCCGGGATCGAATCCCACGTCGGGCTCCCGGTGCATGGAGCCTGCTTCTCCCTCTGCCTGTGTCTCTGCCTCTCTCTCTCTCACTGTGTGCCTATCATAAATAAATAAAAATTAAAAAAAATATTTAAAAAAAATAATAAATTTATTTTTTATTGGTGTTCAATTTGCCAACATACAGAATAACACCCAGTGCTCATCCCGTCAAGTGCCCCCCTCAGTGCCCGTCACCCAGTCACCCCCAAAGTTAAGACATACTTAGATAATAATACACTTATACTTGCCATGGGACTTAAGAGAGGGCTCACCCAGCGAGCATATGATGTGATAAATACGTGCCTTAAAGGAACAGAAGTGCGGGGGGGGGGGGGGAGCACAAAGGAGAGAAGAGTTAACTGGGACTGTCCCAAGGAGACTGCAGTTACGTCATCCGACAGTCTTAATTACTTATGCCTTTAACTTTGCAGAAGCATTAGTAGAGCCGTCTAGTGCTTCTTCCATTACACTGGGCTTTCTATCTGAGCGCCTCCCCATCAAAGCGGAAGATACAGGATACTAAGGGACAGAGTGAACCGGTCACTCTAATCTTGTTTGCCCCTTTCATTCATGTGACATGACTTTGGGGAGGGTCTCCTGTGGGCCAGCCACTCTTTTCCTGGCACTGGCATGCAGGAGTGGTGGAGACGGCTGCAGCCCGCTCTGGTGCAGCTTGCCCATGCAGGGGGAGACAGATGATAAATAAGCAGCTAAATAGGATCAATTAAGGAGTGGCAGGGGCTCTGAAGCAATGAACAGGGCCTGCAATGTATGGGAGAGGTAGGGGTGGAAGCGGGTGCCAAAGACAAGTTGACCAGGTGGCTGGGGAAAGCCCCCTCTGAGGAGCTGACTTCTGAGCTGTGAGCTGAGTGCCAAGAACAGCCACGTGCAGAGTCTTCCAGGCGGAGGGAACAGCAGCTGCAAAGGGCCTGGGGCAGGACCCCATGCTCCTGGTGCCAAGCCCAGAGTTGGTCTCACGGCTTCTGACCCCCGAAAAACTGTTGCAGGAGAGAGACGATCTTGCATCTAGAACTGACGTGGAGCAGAGGAGCTGACACCCAATTTTCTGTTCCCGGCAAGTTCATTTCAAGCTTCTGTTTTCACTCAGGGGCATGCTGTTCCCTCTTCAAAGTCTGACTGGGTTTCAAAGGAATTTGAAAGACTTACAGCAAAGCCACCAAGCTGCATCCTCCAGGTAGAAACGCCTAAATGCGGTTTCCCCATGCCTGTGGGAAACCACAGAGAATCATTCCCCCCACCCCCGCTGCCCAGTCGTGGCCTGACTGGTCAGAGATTTACTTTGCTTTTCTCAAGCTTCCTGAAGCCTCTCCTGACTTTTATTTTTATGTATTTTTTTTTTTTCCTCTCCTGACTTTTAAAGAAACCCCCCACAAACGTCCAGACTCCTGGGTTAAGAGCAAAATCCCCAAATTCCGTGAGATTTGTGAGTTTCATATTTCACCAGAAAGGGGTCTGCAGAAAGCAGTTTCTCAAACGCTGCAAAGAAAGACAAATAATCACTCGGTGATTAGGAAGAAAATGAAATCCTAAGGCTTCCTAAGCGGACACAGACAGGCCCAGCACGCTCGCCCCGAGTTAAAACCTGCCTTTCTCAGAGGTCTCCCATGGTTAATGATCCTCGGTGTGAGCATTTACAAAAAGTGCCAGGTCCCGTCTGAACATCTGATTTCCAAATCGAACCTGGGAGAGGGTAGTATTACCAGCTCACTTCACGGCTGAGGACACGGAGGCCCAGAGGAGTTAGGTGACTTACCCAAGGGAACACAGCCAGGAAAACGAAACAAAACCAAAAAAAAAAAAAAAAAAAAAAGGGCAAAAACCAGATTCTCACCGGCATCCGGGTCTGAGATCCAGTTTACTGTCCCTACTCTCCTGATGGAGAACATTCCTGCCCTCTGCCCTTGGACGCAAACGAAACTAGCAGAGGGGGGGCTCTGAAAGGGGGGGGCAGCCAGGTAAAGTGTTGCAAACAGGGGCAGGGAGCGGCAGGGGGGTGGCAAGCCGGGTCTCCGCGGGCCCGGGAAGGGCAGGGCCCCCTCCTGGATCGGGGCGCAGGTGGGGGGCCTGCCAAGGCCAAGGTTCCGACTGAGCACCTCCCGGGCCCTGCACCTCCGTGCGCGCAGCAGGCGGGGCGGGAGGACCCCCACCCCCACCCCCACCGCACCCCCCCACCCCCGCCCGGGGCCGGCGGGCCAAGGGTTAAGCGAGGCGGGAGCCCCCGGCGCGGGCCGGGAATGCTTAGTCAGGATTCCGATTTCCTGTCGAAGTGCTGGGATTTCCTGCGGCCCGGGCGCCCGCGCCGCCGCGGCCTCCTCCCCCGGCACATGGTCGCCCGCCCCTTCCTGCGCCGCGCTCCGCTCCCGCGCCTCCCGGCCGCCGCCGCCCTCCGTCCGCAGGGCCGCCCGCGCCCGCCCGGGGCTGCGGCGCGCGCCAGCCATGGAATGATGCCCACGGCCCGCCCGGTCCCGGTCCCGGTGAGTCGGGCTCGTCCGCGCCCCGCAGGCGGCGGGCTGGGGCTGCGCGCTGCGCCCCCGGCGGTGCGCCCCGGGGCGGGGAGGGCGCGGGCCGCGGGCTGCAGGGGGGCGCCCTGGGGCGCGGCGGGGAGGGGGGCGGGGGGCGGGGGGCTCCGCGCGCCCTCCCGGGGAGGCTCCCGGGCCCCGCGGCGCCCGGCTTTGTCTCTCGGGACGAAGGAGGAAAGTTCCCCGCGTTCCTGGGAAGGCGGCCCGGGCCCCCCTCCCCATCCATCCCCATCCCCATCCCCATCCCCATCCCCACCCCCATCCCCATCCCCACCACCACCCCGGCCCCGCAGGCCCCAGGCCCCTGGGCTTTTCTAAAGCAAGGGAGACGAAACGAAGCGGGGGGAGTGGGGGGCTTGGGAGACTTGGGGGGCCTGGGGGGGTTGGGGCGGTTGGAGATTCGCAGCCGGGGGGTTCGGGGATGGCTGGCGGGAACCCTGGAAAGGGCTTGTGTGTTTCCCGCGCGTAGCATTTGGGGACCTGCTGCATTTTCGGAGGCGCGACGTGAAGTTTGAAAAGAATAAAAGAAACTCGCCGGCGTGTCTGGGATCCTGCGGTTTTCCTACAATCCCGGGAGTTTTTCTGGGGCGTTCCTAGAGCGGGCTCCTCGCTTAGAGGATTGATTCTTTCCGGGAGCGCAGGGGTGGGGGGGGGATGGATGGACGGATGGACGGACGGACGGACGGACGGACGGATGGATGGAGACCATGGTCTGCGAGGTCTGCAGCGTGTTCTCCGCCGTTTACCTGCGCGCATCCGAAAGAAAGAGCAAGAACTTTGTTCCACTTCTTGCGTAGATTTCGGTCAGGTTGTCTGGGCAGGACGCTGGGTTCTGGGATGACAGCGGGGCCAGGGCCGCTGAGCAGTGTTGGGCTGGTGAGACACCATTGATTTTGAGACCTGTTTTCTCTCTGCTGAACCCTGCACCCCGGGGCCTTTTCTGGTTTGCGATGGGAGGTCTGTCTACTGTTAAGCCAAAAGATGGAGGTTTTTTGGAAAACAGCAAATCCGCACGGTTTAGAAAGAGAAAGGGTTTCCCTTAACGACTGTTTCAGCCCCGTGTTGTCAGGCATGTGGGGTTGGGAGAAGTGACCTCGCTTGCCCCAGGTGGCCTGGGCCGCCTTCGGACTCCCAGTCCAGTGCTCCCTTCCCTGTGGCAGTTTCTGGTCTGAGAGCCATGAGACATTTGGGAATATGTCTTATTTGCATTATAACCGTTGTTGTTTTACTCCTTCCCTTGCTCTGTCCTATTACTGCTGCTGTTTTTGAGTTGTGTGGCTATCTCAAACTCTGTATTTTGAGAGTGAGTTTAAAAAAAAAAAAATTCCCTAGCCCCGTACTGTTCAGCCACCACATGGATTTGAACCTAAAATGGGTGGCTTATTACATAGGGAATTACTTTTCTCTATCCCATTCTTTTGTGAAAAATAGCAAGTCCTAAGTCCAAAAAAAAAAAAAAAAAAAAGAGTGGTATCTTAGCACGAAATATACCCGCATGATGTTCCCTGGACTTGATTCTCAGCCCTCCCGTATCTGTTGAGCTAAGCAGCCCGTCTATTTTTCTACTTAGGAGAACTCGAAGTGGCTGGTTTTTCATTTTTAGTATGTGATAATGTCGGAGAGAAAGGACTTGTTCGCAGGCTTGCCATTTGGTGAAGGAAATTGAAATTCTCTCCACCTCTCACCAGCCACAGGGAGCCAGATTTTCAAAATCAGTCAGAGACTTGCAGGCCCCAAAACGAATGTGTGCATCCAAATGGGGCCCTCCCTCGCCTCTGGTGAGGACCCACCTCCCAGCTGGCATCTCCCGGCTGCACCCACGGGGCTGACGTCTAAAGGGAAAAGGAGATTCACGTTACCTGGAACAGTGTTGTTACTGAATTTTCCCTGCCGGTTCTCACTTGGGTTTTTGACTGGGTCCTGCCACCCCGTTCTCATTTTTCCCTCTCTTGTTTCCTCACCGTTCTCTCCCAGTTGCTATACCTGGCATGGGCTCAAAAAGAAGTCTTTTCTGTAGGATGCACAAGTGATCCCCATGTAAAGCAGTGGTGATAAGGACAGCTAATATGTATTGAGCACTTGCTCGATGCCCTAGGCGTGTCACCTGCCAAGAAGTCCCAAGGAGGAGAGGGAACTCCTTTGGGAGCCTTGCCCAGAAAGGATGCCACTTTTCAGATTCATCTGGAATTGATTCATTCTTTCATTCATCCAGTCCCCGTTTGCTAAGTGGCTCCCCCGTGGGAGGTGCCAGTCCTGCAAAGATGAATAGGACCCTGTGTTCAAGGCCTTCTGTTTCCAGCCTCATCCTTTGGTGTCAGCTTCACACTTGCTCTTTTGGTTAGTTCAGCAAGCTTGTATTTGAGCACCTGCTCTGTGCTAGCACCCGATAAAAGTCCTGAGGATACTGCGCCCGAGCTAGATAGGCCCGGCCCCGCCCTCGTGGAGCTTGCATTCTCCTGGAGGGGCTAGGCCAAACAAAGCAGCTCAGATGAAAGATTGTGATTCTTGTTTTCGAAATCATGACCAAAGCCAAGTGGGGTGGGGGTGGAAATGGGAGTGGTCCAAGTTTTGCTAGGGAAAGGCCTCTCTGAGACTCAAGACTTGAGAAGAAACTGGGCAGAGAGTTTGCAGGGAAAGAGCATTCCAGGCAGAGGGATCAGAATGCACGTGAAAGAGCTGAATGTGTTCCTGGGAGGAAGGGGAGTCCGGGGTGGTGGTGGTGGTGGAGGGTTGGGGGGCAGAGTGTAAAGGAGCAATGGGGAAAACAGCACAAGGTGAGGTTTCAGAGAGAGGCAGGTTCTTAGCCATGCTGGGGAGGTGTCGTTCCCCCCTCCCACCTCAAGTATAGAGGGATGTGGGGCTGAGCTTTGGCTCCAGTGTGGGATCTGATTGACATTTTTAAGAGGTCACTTTTGCTGCTTTATGAAGAGTTGATCACAGACGGCAGAGTGGAAAGCACCAAGGCCGGCTAGGCAGTTAGGGGGCCATTGCACAAATCCAGAAAAGATGGTGGTGGCTTAGACCAGTGGAGGCAGAGGGAAGTAGTGCATGTGATCTGGTTAGAACCTGGAGATAGAACTGATGAGATTTGTTGAGGGATTATTATTATTATTATTATTATATTTTGGTGATGGATTAAATAGGGGTGAGGGTGGGGAGGGACTTGAGGATGACCCCTGGGTTCTGGCATGAACAGCTGGGTGTCCTTTGGGAAGACAGGGAAGAAGAAAGGGGGCATATGTTCCGGAGAAAATCAGGCTCCGTGATGGCCGTGCTGAGCAGGAGATGTCTAGGAGGCATCCAGGTGGAGACTAAGGGCAGACAGGAGGGCATGTGGCTTCAGACCTCAGAGGATGCCTCTGGACCAGAGACCCTGACGTGGAAATTGTCAGGCCGCAGCTGAACCACCCAAGTGCTTGCCAGGACACGCCCTACTGTTTCATTTCTCCAAGGCTCTGCTTATGTTCTTCCTCATGCCTGGGATGCTCTTCCTCTCTCAGCCTAACTCCTACTCACCTTTGAAAAAAACACTCGTGTCTTTATCTCCTTCAGGACACCCCCAGATCCCCCCAGCCCCCAAATCCCCCCAGCTCCCAGATCCCTATGTTTACTCTCATGATAGTATTCAACTAAGTTACCTTTTTATAGTATCTTATGCTTAAGAAAAACTCAGTGCAGGCCCTCTCACATGGTAAGTGCTCAACAAATGCTAGCTGCTATTGTTATTATTATTGGGAGTGATGGAGAGGCATATAAATACAAAGTACGTTAAATTGGATAAATATAATGATAAATGGCGTATTAGTCTCCTCTTCCTGCTCTAATGACCACAAACTTAGTAGATTAAACAACACAGATTTATTGTCTTAACAGTGCTGGAGGTCGGAAGTCTGAAACGCATCTCCTTGGGCCAAAATTACCTTGGTGGCAGGGCCTTCTTCTTTCTGGAACCTCTAGGGAAGCTTCCCTCCAGGGGGAACAGGGAAGATTCAAGAAGAGGAGGCCCCAGGGGAAGAACCGGTTTCCTTGCCTTTTCCAGCTTCTAGAAGCTTCCTACATACGTTGGCCTTTGGTCTCCTTCCTCTATCTTCAAAGCTGGCAGTGTTGGTCTGAGTCCTCATGCTACCATCTTTCTGGTTCTCTCTTCTGGCTCCCTGTTCCACTATTAAGGAGGCTTTTGAGTATATCGGGCCACCGGTAGAATCCAGAATACTCTCCCTATTTTAAGGTCCAGTCATTAGCAACCTTAATACCATCTTCCCTCTTAATTCCCTATTGCCACATACCCCATGTAAGCTAATATATTTGCACCTCCTGGGGATTAGGATATAGACATCTTTGGGGGCTGGTAAGGGAAGGTATTATGGGAGCCCTGGGGTCAGGCTCCATTCCCATCTTCACTGTCCTCTCAACTATTCATTCTTTCATGCAAGCTTGCCTCCTTGCCCAGCTTTCCATGAAAATGTAGAGTTGAGGATTCATGTCACTGTGCTCTCTTTGGGCTGTAGGCCAAACTGTTCACTTTCAATCCAGGGACACTAATTCTTCTCACCCTGCCTTAAGGATAATTTAAATCCAACTTCTTGGGGTGCCTGGTGGCTCAGTTGGTGAAGCATCCAACCCTTGATTTCGGCTCAGGGGTCCTGGGATTGAGCTCTGCATCAGGCTCCCTGCTCACTGGGGAGCCTGCTTCTCTCTCTCTGCCCTGTTCATGCTCTCTCTCTCTCTCACTCTTTCTCTCTCTCCCTTTCAAATAAATAAATCTTTAAAAAAAGGAAAAGGAAGGAAGGGGCTGAGGGCCATGAAGGGTTGATACTCTGAATACGCGGTGGTGGATTTTGCGGCACAATGTGAATCCTAGCACTGTGTGTACCTTTTATGCAGCTGAAACCTCCAGTTCCCGAGCCACAGCTAGTGTCCCCAGCCTCAGCCAGCCCTGTTCCCAAAGCAGGCCA